CGTTCTCTAGGAACCTGGTGAGTGGAGCTGACCTCCAGGACGCGTGGGTTGACCAGTTCACCCCTGGAGGTCAGCGTGTGACCCACTGCACTTGCTCTCGGACAGGCCGCCACCTGGCCACGTTCACCCGTCGGCCAGGGTCGAGTCTCTACACACTGACTACTGCGCCTCCTCCGGTCTCTGCGTCTGGTCAGGTAGCTGCGTCCAGTCAGGTGTTTGCTGCGGCGTCCAGGTCCAGTCCTGCGTCTGCCCCCTGCTCGTGTTGTCCTCTGGCACACGAGACTCTCCTTTGGCACCACCGCCTTGGTCACCCCTCCCTGCCTCGTCTTCGAGGTATGGCCTCCCGTGCCCTTGTCTCGGGTCTACCCAGGTCCCTCCCTCCCCTTCCTCCGGGGCCTGCCCCCACCTGTGTTCCTTGTGTCGAGGGCCGGCAGCACGCCGCCCCTCACTCCTCCTCGTTTCCTCCGACTGAGGCTCCTCTGCAGACTCTTCACATGGACGTGTGGGGCCCAGCCCGCGTCCGTGGACAGGGTCACGAGCGCTACTTCCTCCTGGTCGTTGATGACTACTCGCGTTACACCACAGTCTTCCCCTTGCGCAGCAAGGGTGAGGTTCCTGAGGTGTTGATCGAATGGATCCGCGGTGCTCGTCGCCAGCTCAGTGAGAGTTTCGGCTCAGACCTTCCTGTTCTGCGTCTGCACTCGGACAGAGGCGGGGAGTTTTCCTCCGACCTCCTGAGGGCCTTCTGTCGTTCGGAGGGCATCCGCCAGACGTTCACGCTTCCGGCCTCCCCGCAGCAAAATGGGATTGCTGAGCGCCGCATTGGCATGGTCATGGACGTCACTCGTAGGTCCATGATCCATGCGGCTGCTCCCCATTTTCTGTGGCCGTTCGCGGTTCAGTACGCTGCGCATCAGATCAACCTTTAGCCTCGTGTCTCCTTGCGGGAGACCACACCTACTCTGCGGTGGACGGGGAAGGTTGGCGATGCGTCCGCGTTCCGTGTCTGGGGATCTCGAGCTTTTGTCCGCGATACTACAGCGGACAAGCTGTCCTCCCGTGCCGTTCCCTGTGTCTTCCTTGGCTTCCCTCCTGACGCACCCGGGTGGCAGTTCTACCATCCCACCTCGCGTCGTGTTCTGTCCTCTCAGGACGTCACGTTCGACGAGTCGGTGTCGTACTACCGTCTCTTTCCCTACCGCACTGCGTCTCCCCCCCCCCCCGCCACTCTTCCTGGCACCAGGTACTCCCCTGGTAGACCCCCTCCCCCCCCAGGGTCCTGCCCCCTCAGGTGTGTCCCAGGTAGACCCTGCCGAGCCGGTCGTGGTCGCTGTCGACTCAGGTGCTGCTAGGGGTGCTGACCCTGCGGGTGCGGGGACTGGGGGTGCTGAGACTGGGGGTGCTGAGTCTGGGGGTGCTGAGACTGGGGGTGCTGAGTCTGGGGGTGCTGAGACTGGGGGTGCTGTGTCTGGGGGTGCTGAGACTGGGCGTGCTGAGCCTGGGGGTGTGGCGCCTGAGGGTACTGTGTCTGGAGGTGCTGAGCCTGCGCGTGCTGAGTCTGGAGGTGCTCTAGGTGTCCCGTCGCGGCGGGAGCCCCTCTCTCCGCAGCGGCTTCGTGAGTGGTACTCTCGGCGCTGTCGGGTTGCTGCTGGAGGTGCTGCTGGTGCAGGAGCTGCTGGAGGTGCTGGCGCTGCTGGAGGTGCTGCTGGTGCTGGAGCTGCTAGAGGTGCTGCTGGGACTGGAGACCCTGAGGCTGAGGGTACCGGTTCTGTCTCTGCTGTTTTTGGAGGCGCTGTGCGGCCGCGGCCGTACTACGTTCCGCTTCTTCAGCAGGTTCTTGGCTCCCCGCCTTCTCCTGGTCCTCCTCCTCCTTCCCTGAGTCCACCGCCTGTCCCGTCTCAGTCGCAGTTACAGCCGGCCTCTCCGCTGCCTGGTCCTTCTCCTTACTCTGGACCGACTAGAGGTCTTACGGAGCGTCGTGAGCCTGAGTCGCGTCCTGTGTCGCCTGTGTCTCGTTCTACGTCGCCTGTCCGTTCTGTTCGCGCTGGTCGTGTTTCGCGTCCGCGTCTTCCTCCTGTCCCAGGCACTCACTCTATGACACTGCGTCCTTCTACTGCTCCACAGCGTGTCCCTCTCCCCTCTCCTCCTGCGTCCTCTCTTCCTGACGGTCCGGACCCGGAGTCTGACTCCCTTCGTGCTGCTAGTCCTACTGTCACGCGCTTTCTGGCCACTGCTGTCACTGACCCCCTGTTTGAGTTCTCTGCTGCGTCTGCTCTTTTTGCTGAGCTTGTTGAATTTGCTGCAGCCTGTCGCCTAGACTACGCCGCTAGTCTTGTTGCTGAGTCTGCGTCTGTGTCTGTCTGTCCTCCGTCCGTCGGGGGTGAGTGTGCTCTTGGCACGGACGTCCTTGAGGACAGGTAGGAGGACCTTGAGTGCTTTGCAGCTGCTTCACCTCATCTCTTGTCCATGCTGCTTGCCTCTGAGGGAGACCCGGATGCACTAGACATCCCGACCCCGCGCTCTTACGCAGAGGCGATAGAGGGTCCCTACTCCTCTCAGTGGCAGGCAGCCATGGACGCAGAGATGGCTTCCTGGAAGTCCACGGGCACCTACGTAGACGAGGTTCCCCCACCTGGGGCGAACATCGTCAGTGGCATGTGGATCTTCAGGGTGAAGCGGCCGCCGGGTTCTCCGCCTGCCTTCAAGGCACGTTACGTTGCACGTGGCTTCAGTCAGCGACAGGGAGTTGACTTCTTTCAGACCTTCTCCCCTACCCCGAAGATGACCACTCTTCGGGTACTGCTGCACGTTGCTGCTCAGCGTGGCTACGAGCTCCACTCGCTTGACTTCAGCACAGCCTTCCTACAGGGCAGCCTGCACGAGGAGATCTGGCTGCGCCGCCCACCTGGCTTCACTGGGTCGTTTCCTCCTGGTACCCAGTGGAGCCTCCGGCGGCCAGTCTACGGTCTCCGCCAGGCGCCCCGTGAGTGGCACGACACGCTCAGGACGACTCTTGCTGCTCTTGGTTTTGCTCCTTCCACTGCTGACCCTTCTCTGTTTCTACGCACTGACGCTACTCTGCCGCCGTTCTACGTTCTTGTGTACGTAGACGACCTTGTCTTTGCTACTGCTGACACGGAGGCACTCGCCCATGTGAAGTCCGAGCTGCAGAAGAGACACACGTGCACAGACTTGGGTGAGCTGACAAGCTATCTTGGCTTGCGGATCACCCGGGACAGAGCATAGTGCACCATTACCTTGACTCAGTCACACATGGTGCAGCAGGTCCTTCAGCGCTTCGGCTTCACGTACTCCTCGCCACAGTCCACTCCTCTGCCTACCGGTCACTCGCTCTCAGCTCCACCTTCGGACGAGTCCGTAGAGCCGAGTGGCCCGTATCCAGAGCTTGTGGGCTGCCTCATGTACCTGATGACTTGCACACGACCTGACCTCGCATACCCTCTCAGCCTTCTGGCTCGCTACGTGGCTCCCGGCAGGCACCGAAAGGTGCACTGGGATGCTGCGAAGAGGGTGTTGCGCTACTTGTGCAGTACATCGGGCATGGGGCTCGTGCTTGGAGGACGGGCTCGAGTTGTCCTCACTGGTCACGCTGACGCCTCCTGGGTTGACGACTTGGCTACGCAGCGGTCGTCACAGGGTTACACCTTCAGTCTTGGCTCCGGCTCTGTCTCTTGGCGGTCTACCCGCTCTACTTCTGTTCTCAGCTCCAGTTGTGAGGCTGAGATCTACGCTGGAGCCATGGCTGCACAGGAGCTTCGCTGGCTTACCTACCTGCTGACCGACTTGGGAGAGGCGCCTCGTTCTCCTCCAGTTCTGTACGTCGACAACAAGGCCATGCTGGCCTTGTGTCAGGAGCACAGACTGGAGCACAGAACGAAGCACATTGCTCTGCGCTACTTCCTTGCTCGAGAGTTGCAGCAGCGTGGCCAGCTTCGTCTTGCTTACGTGGCCTCTCAGGCCAACACTGCTGATGTTTTCACCAAGGCACTTCAGCCTTGTGATCATCAGCGTTTCTGTACTGTGTTAGGTCTTGTACCTACTGTGCCTCACTTGTTGACTTCTTGACTCTGCTTGTACTGTACTCTATATACTTATACCTGCATGCTTACACTTGCTAGGTTGTGTTCACTGTATTGTTTGCTTTCCTCTATATAACTCTGCATGTGAACTGGCCTTATGGCCCTTTGCTTGTGCTCAGACTGTGTGGTGACTTTGTGATCCACCCTGAGCTTGCTTTGTCTTTCTTGACTGGTCTTGTGACCCCTTGTTCTCCCCCACTTTGCCTATGGGGGTGTGTCAAACTTATATCTACTATAGTATATTTAGGCTGTAGTGGGGTAGTCCTTAGAGGGTACAACACTTTTGTGTTTTCTACTTGTACCCTTCTGCTTTCTAGTTCAATCACTCATTCCTATTATTCTCACATTGTGAACCACCTTGCGCTTGTATGTGAGGGCAAAGTAAGTTGATTAAACAAAAGAGATACAAGCTTTTATAAGAATACAGAGAATATGAAGAGATACGGTTACTAACTGTTTTACTGTTGCTGTTGCGGTTCGATACAGTGTCGACTCGGGCAACTGCTCAGTATCGAGACAGTTGTTTGTCCTTGCTGTCGCGCTGCATTTGTCTGGTCAAAGGTCACTGACCTTTGACTTTCGCGTAACCTCCAACAGTTATTCAACTTCCGAGGGTTGACTCACCGATGTTTCGATACGATCTGCTTCGCTTCTGTCTTGGTGTTTCGACACGACAGAGGCAGGGCTGACATTTCGTTTTAGGCCTCCCTGATTCCCGGAAAAAAATTCCCCCTCAATTATGATCGCACATTTTTCACAGGGAAGCTACCCTGATAGCTCAGTGTCGAACAAAGTCTTAGCCTGATCCGTCAGGGTTCACAGCTCAAAATCAGGGTTGCTATTAACATTGCACTACACTTCAAAATGACTGATACAACAACTTCAACTTTCCTACACTATCTACTGCACGGGTTTGTCAATGAAGTACACCTCCTCTACGTCCTCATCGTCTGACAGGTAAGGGTTGTCCTCCTCTTCCACGACCTCCTGATCGTCGGCCAAGTCCTGTTCCACTTCATCGTCCTCCTCCTCCTCCTCCTCGTCCTCGTTCTCCCCCGCAGTTCGAGCAGCCACAGCTTCACCCTCCTTCTGCTTCCCCTTCCTCTCCCTCTCTGCCACGGCCAGCTTCAGGCTCTTCACAGGGCGCCTCCTCCGCATGGACCTCCACACCTCCAGTGCCTCCGGCCATTCGATCTCGTACTTCAGGAGCGATATCTGCATCAGCTCCCCCAGCTTTCCTACACTATCTAGTGCACGGGTTTGTCAATGAAGTACACCTCCTCTACGTCCTCATCGTCTGACAGGTAAGGGTTGTCCTCCTCTTCCACGACCTCCTGATCGTCGGCCAAGTCCTGTTCCACTTCATCGTCCTCCTCCTCCTCCTCCTCCTCCTCCTCCTCGTCCTCGTTCTCCCCCGCAGTTCCAGCAGCCACAGCTTCACCCTCCTTCTGCTTCCCCTTCCTCTCCCTCTCTGCCACGGCCAGCTTCAGGCTCTTCACAGGGCGCCTCCTCCGCATGGACCTCCACACCTCCAGTGCCTCCGGCCATTCGATCTCGTACTTCAGGAGCGATATCTGCATCAGCTCCCCCAGACGCGCGTTGCAGAGCGCTCCACGCACCCAGGACTTGATGATGTTCTGCCTGGAGAACCCCCTCTCGCACTCCACGGTGGAGAGGGGAAGCACAGCCAGCGCCTGCCACAGCAGGATGAGGTTGGGCCATCTCCTGCCAGGCACATTCGAAGCACAACAAAACATGTAAAAGTATCAACTTAATAAATCAACAAGTTGGAATTCAACATGTTAATAATCACCAACATAAAAATCAAATAGGTAAAAAACTCGTAAGCATGCAGTGGCCTACCTCATTGAGTTTACGCTCCCAAGAAAGTTGTTAAGGCCCTGGGCGAAGCTCTCCATCTCATGGTGTGACTCCATGATCGCGCAGAATGTCGGGAGCTCCCTCTCTGCTGCTTTGAGGTCGAATCCCGGCAGCTTGTGGCGGAAGAGCCTGCTGCATCCGTGCAGCCACTCCTTGCACTTCTTCTCTCGCTGGGCCTTGATCTTCGGCCACTTCCCCGCCCGGAACAGCTTCGTCGGGCCCAGCTTCCCAAGGTCATCCAGCCGTTCGTTCAGGTTGTCCACGCAGTCGCGGGCAAATTGGCGGCACAGCTTCACGCAGTCTGCGTAGGTGCTTCCCTGCTTGTGGCCCTTCAGCTTCCTCTCATGCATGGTGTAGAGGTTGTTGATTGGGCGTCCCTCTCCGTCCACGCCTCGAACCCGGACCTGCTTGCCTCCACCCTCCTTGTGGACCTTGAGGAAGTTTAACAGCCAGCTCTTCCCCTCGCCCCCGAACGGTTTGTTTGTCGTCAAGTAGCGCTCCGTCAGGTCACCCGTGGTGGACTCAATAGTCTTCGAAATCTCAGTCACATCCAGCTGTCACACATGCAATCAACAACAGGGAGTAGGATTAGCAAAAGTGTAGGATTACACTTCCCATCTCAACATTATACTAGCATTCAATCTCACCTCACGCCTCTGGAAGCAGCGGTTGAGGTCGTTCATGTCGGCCAGAATGTCGGCCAGGAAAAACAAACAGAACTGGAACTTGTAGCACGTCACAATCTCGTAGGCCTTGTGGTTGTGCTCCCAGAGCAGCACGATGCAAGCGCCGAGGACCTTGCACAGCCTTCGCACCGCATCACCTCGTGACAGCCATCGAACCGTGTGGATTCCTTGGACCTCGAGGTTTGTCTGGTAGATCACTCGCTGAAGGTACTTGAAGCGCTGACTCCACACGCTTGAGTTTCCGAGAAGCGTCGCCACTGTGCGCACCACCTTGTCAACCATGCCAAGGTCCTCGTTTGACTCAGCGGCGTCCTTCACAGCCAACGCCTCACTGTAGGATGCAGGGAATACAAATCAAGAGGTAATTGGTTAATCTTATACGTAGAAAACCACACCAACTAGGAAACTTGATACACACCGGTGGGCGATGCAGTGGCATGAAAACAGGTGCGGAACGTGTTCCCGAAGACGCGCCACCAATCCGTTTTCTTTCCCGGTCATGACCGACGCCCCATCCGTGCTGATGCCGACGATCTTGGACACATCGACGGCTGTGGAGCGGAGATGGTTCAGAAGCACCTCGAACAGAGACCCTGCATCACACCGCTCAACCGTCAGCAATGTAAAGAACTCGCATGCGATTTGACGATTCTTCAAAAACGTAAGGTACACAATCATGTGTTTTCCTCGCGTTCGGTCTGTGCTTTCGTCGCACTGAATGCCCAGGAAGGGGGATGCCAGGATGTGGTCCATCTGGACCCGAGTGAGGTATGTATTGATGCTGTGAACCATTTGTTGGAACCCGTATCTGCACAGAGGAGAATAAAATGGTCAGGATCGTGATAAAAAAACCATACGTCACATATGTCCAGCTGCAATCTAACGCTTAAATACCGTGTCAGATACACGCCGTAAGATTGTCGAGGAATGTCTGGCGTGTCCTGCTCTGCAAGATGCCGCATCAGCTTCGGAAACATGCTAATCGGCGCGTCGCACTGGCACAGGAACTGCGTAGACCGCATGTGACGAATCGCGCGCCGCCCCTCGACGTCGGAGTTGATGAAGTCAAAAATCGCCTGCTGGCCCTCGCGGATGCCCGCCGCAAGCTTCAACTGCCGATCCACCGCCGCCTTGTGTGCGTCCGTATGCTCGTGCGCCCTGAACGACTGCGTCTGCAAGTCACGGCCACCGTCGTCACTTTGCATGGCGTACCTCGTGTTCCCCTTCGCGTACGACATGCAGATGGAGCACTTCACGTATGGAAAACCGTCCTTGGTCTTCCCAAACACCAGCCAGGAAAAGTGTTGCGACCACTTCGTCTCATAGTTAATACTCGCCTCAAGGTACACCTGATCTCGCAGCTGCATCTTGGTGAGTGCGGGCGAGCCGGTATCCGCGCGCACAGGGATGTCAACTTCCTCCGGTTGCTCAGCTTCTTTGTCATTGTCAGGCGGTGGAATACGGCGGCCTCCGACGACCAGAGTACTCTGCGCCCACTTCCCATTTCGCGCTCGCTTGGGAGTGGAAGAAGCCGACGGCGGGCCAATAGACACACGCACCGTGCTTGGAGTGGGGCTAGGCGATGGTGGTGGGGGATCTTTGCTGCAAGAAGCAACAGCCGGGGGTAGAGTGAAGGCGACAGGATGTGGAGAATCAGAAGGAGTAGGGGTTACTCTAGCAGCAGAGTCATGAACCGTAGACCTAGGAGGTTCTGGTGTCACCGGAGCACCGGAAGCTCTAAGAAAATCGAGCCCAGACCGGGGATCATCTGATGCTTTCTCCGGCAAGGCTTGCGCTGTCGGTTTCGCCGGTAAAGGTGGCTCGTCAGGGCCAGTCTGAGGAGCATCTTCGTCGGCCGGCAGGGCCTCCATGGCGGCGAGCTAGGGGAAAGATGGAGCGAGAGGAAAGTGTGATACTGAACGAAAAGCGGGAAGCGAAGGAAGCCTGGCTCTGGGTAGGGGGAAGGAAAGGAAGGTTGGAGATGGCGGGGTCATCACGAAACCACCGCGGCGCGATGCCACAAGATTGATGGCAACATTCGTCAATGAATTCGGCCGTAGATGCAAGGCCAAATTCATTCAAGGACTGCTTAGCTGCCAGCGCATACTGTCAACATGCCTATCTGGGGAATGGCAGGGGCATGCTGTGCACTGCGAGGTGCGCGTGGCAGCAACGTATCATAGATTTGGGTGCGTTGTCACTGTTGACAGCTGTCTTTACAGCACGGTGTTGGAATTCGGTGTCGTTATTACGTCAGTCCAGCGCGTGAACGGGGTACCTCACATGGGGCCACGCGAAGTAATGATTACGCACAGGGGGGGGGGGTTATCGAAAGGAAACTTCGAGGAACCTTCGTCCCGATACCCTCGCATTCAGGGTCCACCGAACGCATACTCTGCATAGACATAGTCCGCAAGTACACTACTCTGAGACTAGTTATAAGATTTCAGGGTTCGATAAGTAACTTTTCTGATTGGATCAGAGTTCACAAGTTAAAAAAACTGAAATTGCAGGGCCCAGCAGTTGAGAAGCCTGTAATCACCTTGAAATCAGGGTAATTACCCTGATAAAATCAGCCCTGGACAGAGGCGCTTAAATCAGTTGTTTCCAACAATTGCCACATAACTCTGGTATATTTTTTTTGCATGCCATACATATTTCCCTCTGTCCTTTCCACTTCGACTCAGTCTGTGTAGAGTGCTCACAACCACGTAAGCACCCGTGGTCCCACACCTAACTGCACCCGACCCGACCCAGCCCAGCTATTCCAGGAAACAGCAGGCATATCTGAAGCAAATCAGAATTGCTGAAGGTTTTCAAAAATCACCTGCAATATTGGTGTAAGAGTTGCTAACTACAAAACAATTACTGTACAGAATAGGCTGCAAAAGGACAGTCATGTGGTGTAATGTGCGGTTGAAATGTTGAGGTACCAGTTAGGAAATTCACGGAGAGTCGATGGTGACCAGCAAGATCCGATGGGTACCATTGAGCCACGTGGCTGACTGCAAACGTCAGTAGGATCGATGTTGGTGAACCTGCCCCAGCGGTAAAGCCCCAGGTTCCGAACCACGGTTTGGTTGGCCTGGTTTTTCCGAAGCAAACAAGCCAGATCGAAGGCTGTTCCAGCCACAGATCGGAACCACAGGTTCTGACTCGGCTTGGAGCCTGCCAAGCCAAGCCAAGCCAGCCTCTCAGAGCTATGGCGAACGGACGGGAAACCATGTTGAACCGAACCCAAGGGTGTCCAGCAGAGCTGTCGCTTGCTCTGGGCCCAAAACTTAGCGGGCTGAGGTGCCCTGAATTCAGCCCTTATTTTTCCGGGTTGAGTCAGATTTCAACACTTCGATCCAGGGCTACACATCCTTCTGCGCTTGAGCGTTAACACATCGTGAAAGTAGATGATATTCAAATACACGTAAGGGCTGCGGTACATAGGAGATCAATCAGCTGATCTACCATGCAACTGGTGGGGGAGAAGGTATGGAGGTTCTACTTAAGCAGGGGACATCAAGGGAAACGAGGGGGTATGGTGGTAAGCTAGGGCTCTGAGCGTATACGTGAATCCGGGTTAGACGCTAAACCAGCCCGTAAGGAAAACGGACTGGCCTCAAAGCCAGCCCTTGAATTCTCTGAGTTGGGCCCGAACCAGCACTTAAATTCAAGGGTAAAAAGGAAAAAATCCCTTGTAGCGACAGGCATGGTGTCCAGAATTCCAGGCAAAATGGCTTCACTTTCCACATCCCACACATATCCCGACAGAAGCTGTTCCAACTCGCAACACTGGAGATGGAAGGAGGAGATTGGACCTGCAACGGCGAACAAAGCGGACTGTCTAGATGCGGGCTTGGCTCGAATAGCGTTCCTACCGAGCCTGCCGCCTTTTTGGTCTGCCGGCATTCCGGGATATAGTACTAAAGAATAAAAGCCCGCTGGACTAAATTCGCGCAAATAGCAGCCACAGATTTCTCAAGCCCTCAAATGAACTGATTCTGGAATCGCTATAGCCTCTGGAATCATCCACGGCAGTTCTTTTCGGCCTTTTTCACCAATCAGTGACCGAGTATTCGTGCTTCCTTGATAGTACCAAACTGAACGGCTTGAGGTCTTCGGTTTTGCTGGCACCATCATAATCCAACTCTTCGGAATGGCCTCCGTGTCCCACATCGTGTCGGCCGTTCCGGGAGTATCACGCATCTCAACCGTCCATCTCGTGGACCAGCGGAGTACAGCGTCACCATCTCTGAGCAGGAACCCGCGTTATCAGCTAATTCGTTTCAAGCAACGAGCCTCAGGCTCACATGCTGAGTGTCGCGCGCCTGGAAGCGTCGGTAAAAGCTTCTCCGTTAGCAGCAGTACCAGTAATAGCCTGTTGAGCAGTGTAACGTATTACCCTAACTACCGAGCTAACAACCATCGATCTCTCTCTAAGTCAATTGTTGAGAACTTCTCTCGACAAAGGAAGAGTTGGAGAAGATGGTTGAGTTGGTTGGGATGAAACTTGGTTTGGGTTTGCCAAGCCTCAACTTTGGAGGTTTGGAACATTTCCAACTCAACCAAGAGAATGTTGAAGGTTGGAATTCCAACCAATCAGAAACTGCCAAACAAGTGTTACAATCTACTCTATCCTAAACACAACCATTGAATGGTTCTAAGTTGGGTTTTCCAACCCAACACAATTGCCACATAGGCTCCAAGCCTAGGAACCATCCCACCATGGAAACCATGGTTGGGATAGTTCCCCAAGGGGTGTATTGAGGGGGTCTGAGCTAAGCAAGCTCATTCTCAACCTCCCACTCCAACAAAACAATTGGAAATGGGATTGTTTCTCTAAGTCCTTTTGGGCTCTCTCACAAGTCTCCCTACACTACTACTCCAAGTGCTTTTCATCAAAGGCATCAAGAAGATCTTCATCTCCAAGGCTATTAAGGCTAGTTAAAGCTACTATTTTGTATTGGAATATTATAAAAGCCTTGTAACCGCCATTATAATAGCCCTGGGCATTACATTGGTATCTAGAGCAAGGTTCTTCCTTGGCCTTGTGTGGCCATTTGCTACTTGGACTATTTTTTTTTAGAGGATCCTAGCTTGTGGATCCAGGATTTCATCCAAGGAGCTATCAAGATCTTTGAAGATTTTGAAGAAATTTCAAGATCTACAAGTGGTTCTTCAAGATCTACAAAAGCTTCTACAAGATCTCCAAGCTTCAAGCTTCAATCTCCTCAACACACCATTGGAGCTTCAAGATCTACAAGGAGCTCATTTTTCTTCATCAACATTGAGAAAAAATTTGAAGAGATTAATTTCTCTTACCCACCTTTGGTGGAAGACTCTTGATCTACTTTGTGTAGAAGAGTGTACCTTCAGATCTATAAAGGGCTTGTTGAGGATTACTCTCTTGAGTATATCTTGCTCTATCATTGAGGTGATAGAGAGATTTGGCAAACAAGTCTATCTTAAGAGATTCTGTATTGGATTATTCTATAAGAGTAATCAGATTTCTTAAAGATTATTATAAGATCTGTCGAGATCTCCTCTCCTTAACCTGTTTCATGGCTGCTGGTCAAGAGATGGATGCTACTAAGGAGGTGCCCGTTGTTGGCACTGAGGGAGATAATGCTGCTGCTGCTGCTGACATTGATCTCAACCTTGAGGATTTCGTGGTTGACATGGAGATCAATGGAAGTGAAGCTGACCTTGAGGCTGATATTGAAAATGAGGAAGAGGCTGGCTCTGATGAGGGTGTTTCCAATGAAACTGAGAACATTGCTGTCAAGCTCCAGACTCAACTCACGGAGCAGAATATTCTCATTGGAGTGCAACAGTGTCGTATCCAGAACTTGGAGGCTGATTCTGTTAAGCTTCAGGCCTTGATTGAGCAGCTGACCAGGGAGGTGCAGTTGATCCCTAAGGAAAACGACACCTCCAGCCTCATTCAGGACTTGCACAACACTCTTCAGTTCGTGCAGGATCAGCTCAAGAAGCAGGAGAAAAGCATCTCTGTGCTTCAGACCCAGTACAGGGAGATCCGGCGTGGAAACCTCTACCAGCCTGCTCCTGCAGCAGAGCGAGTCGCCAACGCCGCTAACAGCCGTGCTGCACCTGCTGATGCACCTCCTGCTGTTCCTCCTCCTACTGGAGCACGTGCTGAGCCTCCTACTGCAGCAGCAACTGCCTTTGGCTCCTGCCCTTCGGCCCTGCCTCGTTTTGTCCATGGCAAGACCGACGTCGAGACTTGGCTCTCCATTGCGGAGGACTTTATGTCCATCCACAATGTGCGTAGCGAGGCTCGTGTGGTCGCTGCAACCCTTGCCCTGGACGACACTGCGAGCAAGTTGGTGTATGCCAACAAGCGCCACGCAGAGGC